AGATGAATTCGATCGACGAGATTGCCTTTCTTCCTAAGATAATAACTTAGAAACGAAAATACTCGGAAAATACTTCTTTTAACAAGAATATCTTCTTTTCTAAAATAGGAGATTTAAAAAGAACAGTGAAAGAGCGAAAGACTTAAATTAGAAGATCCGAAAAACAAGCAATTAGAAGTTTCGAACCGAAAAAAACTCCAACGAAGCAGAAAAGTAGCGCAATTAAACACGTTTATATGTACCATTCCGATTAGATAACAGCGTGGTCCTGACGGAGGACACGGACAGCTTCATAATAGGAGATCGAGTATGGGTCGGTGGCACGAAACCAGGCGCTATTGCCTATATCGGCGAAACTAAATTTGCCCCTGGAGATTGGGCTGGTGTAGTGCTGGACGAACCGATTGGTAAGACCTAATCATCGAAGAGGAAATGGTTTGCGAACGAAATTTAACGACTAAGTGGACACTTCAGGCAAGAACGATGGATCTGTGGCTGGGTCCCGGTACTTTCAATGCGAGCCAAAGCGAGGGATCTTTTCTCGATTGACCAGGCTGACCAGAGAACCGTTGATCGATGCCACTGAAACGTCGCCAACACAAAAGACACCTACGTCACCACCTGAGAGCCTCAGCAAATCCATGTCTCCGTCTCTGAGTAAGGATCGTTGCAAGAGATACTACCCTCGTTCGTAGTGTGCTTGAAACTTTTTGTTTAAGAAACGTCAAGAACGAGAGTTACGCAAGAGGAATTTGAACGAATTTGTTCTTTTCGTTTTATTTTCTTCTCCCTCTCTTAAGTTTCTCCTTTTCACAGAGTCGTAGAATAGAAAGAAGCTGTTTCAGTTTGCCGTTCGAGAATTTTGTAGGTTTAAGATGTATACTGTAGAGTATTGTATAAACTATGAATTAGATAAGCTGCACAAGTTCTGTCTATCAAATTAAATGTAAAAGTTTGATTTACAAAATCATGTGGATCTTTTGGTTAGTATATTTCTTTTACACAAATCTTGAGCTTACCCATTACATTTAAAATCATTTAACTGTTAAACTATAGCTGTAATATTTTCTGATGTCAGATTTATTATTGTAAAATCCTTTTTTATTACCTGATAAGTACTAAAATATGAAATAATGTAAATGTTAAATAACATTGAAATAATCTAAATGTAACGTAAGTTGCATAAACATGACTAAAGTATAAATTATCGTTTTGACAAGATAGTTTATCATAATGCTGTGAGGCATGTTAAATTTTCTTCTTTCATAAAATCTAGATTAAATTTTTGGACAAACATGAAGCAAAGGGCAGACAGAATTTGTGCAGCAACTCAATATTTCATCATCCTTGATCACTTCAGGATAGCTTATGTGAAGTTTAAGTTCTTGCAAAATTCTCTATAAAATTGTTTTTGCTTTTCTGAATGGAACATTCAGTTGCACGCTGTGTAGCTTAAAGTCACATTATGTAGACTGTCTTATTGTTGTACCTAACATGTAGCACTTGTGTAATATTTGGTTTGTAGCGTCACAACCTTTACATTTTAAAATCTCTTTGAAAGAGATAATGTATATACTATTGTTTGTCCCATTATGCATCGTAGTGTAGCCCACGTTTTTCTAGATGTTTGTTCATTTATGTAGTTAAACCTCCACGCGTCGTGTTTTCTGCGTTTAATAAATAAATTTGGATACTGCTTCCTCACTTTCTTATCATCGATCAAACTATAAATATTGTAAACATTTATAGCACATTCTTAGTGTTAAATTAACTCTCAACTGGAATTTAAATGATTCTCACTTTAGAAAAATTCTCAATGTTTTTAATTAAATTTTCAGTAGAATTAATCCTGAATTTCTTTTTTTTTTTTTTAATTATTGGCTCCTTAGATTCTTTGAATTGAAAGATAAATATATTATATTTTAGTAACAATATCCAAATTATTAATTGCAATAAAATATTTTATATTTAAAAATTTCTATTTTTAACTAGTTGAGGATTAACTACAATCATCAGTGTCAGAAGTAATTTTTTAACGAAGTTATTTCGTGCAATTTTATCTCAATGTTTCACGCACGTATCTGCTCTGAACAAAATTCATTTATTATAAGAAACCTATTGTAACTCGTCACGCAGACGCATCAACGACGAGTATATCGTCCATGGTGTCGCAGAAGGATCTCAGGATAGGTGACAGAGTAATAGTATCATCCAGTCAAGGCAGCAAAACCGGTGTCCTGAGATACGTCGGCACCACAGAATTTGCACCCGGCGAGTGGTGCGGCGTGGAATTGGATGAGCCGATTGGAAAGAACGACGGCTCCGTCAACGAGAAGAGGTCTGCATCAATTATCAAAATTTATAGTTCGGATCAAAGATCTCGATCATTCGATCTCCCACAGAAGAATTTTAGACTTCTCAGGTTCTTTCATTCACGTTTGAGATTTTTTTCAAGTTTTTATTATTTCTTTTTTTTTTTTTTTCTTTATATTCTTGTTACTATCTCATTTCTTATCTTTACCTTATTATATACGTAAAACAAAAGAACAGTCTCCAATTCAGTTCACAATGGAGCACAGATATCCGCAGCGTGGGAGTATTGTTTTGTTCGATTCTGCAACGTCGAATTAATTAACGTGACTCGATCGCAGCCGGTAGCTGTATTTATGACCTCGATCGCATACAGAACAGATGTAAACGGATAACGATGACAGCCTTGAGATTTCTTACCAGCGTTCTCTCTTATTCTTAAAAAAAAAAAAAAAAAAAAAAAAATTGAAAAAAGATCAAACTAAGTTTCCATTAATACCATTAATTATATAACAAGATAACGAGTCATATTGACAAAGAAACCTTTACGTTGCTCGGAGAAATTGATTAAAATTGTTTAAGAGAGGAAAAAAAAAAAATGTCATCAATTAGCTCCTACTTTTTGTCCCTGCTTTGCTAACCAGTTTAGCGTTCATTCAGGTACTTCGAGTGTCGACCTAAATACGGGCTGTTCGCACCCGCGCACAAGGTCAGCCGGTCGCCATCAAGCAAAAGGTCATCATGCATAGTGCACAAACCAACTGGCGCTGCGCTGAACATGTCCCTGAGGAAGACCGGTTCCAGAGAATCATTGGCCTCGGTGTCGAGCATCATCAGCACTACCCCGAGCACAGTGAGCAGGGCTAGCGTTAGCGCCGCGAGGGTAAGATTCACCGTGCCAGAGTGAGGAGGATCGCCTGCAGCTTGTATCTTCTCTCCAGAACGCAGATTCCTGACTGTCCAATCTGTTTGACACTTCGTTTGAACAATCAGAGAAAGATAGATTAATTATTTGTGAAATTGGAAGACTGCAGATTTTTATGCATTTTGATGCAGAAAACGTATTAGTCTGTATATTAGTAATGCACTGATGTTAAAGAAACTTAGGGTCATACAGCATTTTGTATATGTTGTTCAAATTATTAGCAGTAGTACTATTATAGTAGTAATGTTTACTTTCGTACCAAATCTGTACTTTGAGATCTAAAATATTAGATACGTTCTGGAAAGTAAATGATTCTCTGATTGTTCTGAAGAATATAACAAATGCGTTTCTCTTAATTTGTATGAATAAAGCATCACCTCTTCTGTTAGATTGCTTTGAAACGCGTTTGCGAGTGAAACTTGCGCGTTGTTAGCTTGTTAGTCCTATAGTAACATTGTTACATAGATTGACATAGATATACATATATATATATATGTATGTGTGTGTGTGTGTGTATGTGTTACAGTTTTTATCGATGTTGCTGTTCTTGTTAATAACATTGTCCATTGTTAGATATTAGTTTAAGTCAAACCTAATTCATGATCCAAAGAGATGTTCAATACTCCTAATCTTTGGATGGATTTAAGTTTTATCGACTGCTTAAAAAAAGTCATGTGATCGTACAGTATTCTTTTCACAAAATCTTTCTATACTTTTTTTTTATTAAGAAAAAATAATATATATTTATTTATTGGAAGTGGATGTAAGAGTAGGAATTGTGCAGTTTAATTGTGTATGGCTGTTGCATGATATATTTTTATTTTTTTGTTGTATCCAAAATTCTAGCGGCCTGGTTTGCGCACCTCGACACCTGCACGAATCACCCTGCAGGTGAGATTATGATCTAACATTTATTTGACCATTAGTTACCATTCCCTTGTTTAATTAGGAATGTAATAAATGATATTCTCCATACACTCTACACAACAGAAAGAGATTAACAAACATATTGTATTTGCATAAATTCAAAAGTAATCTGTATGATTTGAGAGCTAAGGTTTGCCATATTAGTTCACTTAGAATATCATTACAGATATTAATAAAATTTGTTCGTTACCGCTAGATGATAAGTAGAAAAGTACTTTGATATTTGTATGTGATGTTAATAAAATCATCCGTCCATTCCTCTTAATCTCCTTATACCTATCTAAATATCTAGCTAGATGGGTATTTCTTTTGTAAATTAGTTTTTTTTTTAAATTTATTTATTTATTTATCTGGACGAAAATATCTTAAATTAACAATATTGTAAAATTTATTTTCCTGCCATTGATTATGCAAGTCGTATTTATTTAATTAAATGTCATCAGAGCAAGTGTGTAACAAATAATTCAATCAACTCAGTTTACACGCTTTTGAAATTGCGTTCTCATGTTGATGTATTTGTTGATGATAAATATATATATATATATATATATATATATATATATATA